ACTATATAAATAATAGTTATAGGTAATTATAWAGTTATGTATAAAACAATAATAAACAACCATATAATGCGCCCAAATGTTAATTAATTAATGACAATGATAAATAACAACCAGTCCGTTAGTCCATAGACCGTGGACACACACTTACTTTTGTTTTGGCAGGTTTTCGAAAGTTGTTTATTATTTGCGTTGGCAGCAGCACAATTGTCGGGTATTACATTGAGAAACAAGGAACTCCTGTCAGGTTTTTTTTCACCCTCGTGTAAATTAATGTTCTTTAATTTCGGTATGTCAAATGGAAGCTCTTTCAGCTGTTCGCTTTTAGACCTGTCTGCTGCAGGGTGTCTGACGCCGGAATGAGCACCGTATGCGTCCTCGCCGCTACCGATCTCGAAGTCTAACGATATGACCCTCGCACAGCTGTCCATCTGCCTCTTTCTGAGCTTCGGCATATCGAACGGCAACACGCCACCATCGGGGTCGCAGCCGGCATTCGTCTGCCTTCTCCTCAATTTCGGCATGTCAAACGGTAGTCCCTGGGGCCGCGGTGGAGCCTGCAGCACCGGACGTCCGGTGCAATCCGAAGACGACGATGACGACGACGATGTGGTTGACGACATCGTCGTCGGGCCCTCTTCGAATCTCTGCCTGCGTTTGAGCTTCGGCATGTCGAACGGCACGTCCAACAGCTCCTGGTAGTTGTCGCCGGGTTTCGATCCTACTGATATGCCACTGTCGGAACCGTGATGCTGCATTTGGCCACTGTTGAGCTTTATCAGGCCTAACGATTGCGGTGGTTTGGTCTTGACCTGCGCGGCCACCGCGGCGGCTTTGCCGGCCACGACAACGACGGGGGCCGCTGAACCGGCGGCAGACGATCTCCGGTGTTCGTAATCCAAAAACTCAGCGCCGGCATCCTGGGACGACTTGTCCGAGATCGGTGACAGGACGTGCGGTACAGGAAATCGCTTGTAACACGGTGACTCGGAACTGTGCGAGCTCAGCGAATCACTGGTGATCGACTCTAGACTGAGACTGCTGCTAGTCACTACGCTGTCCGAGCTCCGGTACTTGTAAACACTATTGAATTGTCGGCCGCTGCCGCCACCGCCGCCGCCGCCGTTACGTCTCTTCCGCAACAGGAAACCGAACAACCGGTTTTTGCATTGCATCCTGGAGGACGGCGAGGCGCGAACGGCGGATGCGGTGGCGGCGGCGGCGTCCTCGTCGTCGTATTGCCGGACGGAATTGGCGCTGGCCGACAGCTGCAACTGGTTGGACAGCCGATGAGCGATGGCCGAGTCCTGTTTTTCGGCCGACAGCAGGTCTTCGTCCGACTTGCTGATTTTTGAATCGAACGCGGTCTCGTAGAACCGTCGGAATTTCTTAGACATTTTTCATTGTCGCGTCGTGACGTGCAGCTGTAGAACGGCTAGGGGCCGGGGAGGTGGCATCTCGTTTTCCAAAATCAAGCCGATGAAACGGAGACGGCGGTAACGATGYCATGTAGTTAACTGTGAGGACCCGTGGCCACGTGTTGCGACATGCACCACGTCTTGAGTACAGCTGCAGTCGCAGCGCCCGGACGGTGTACTTAATACGTGTATATAAAAAACGGTATATTTTATGTATAAATACGCGCGCTGGTACACAACACCTGGYGGCCGGGCGACGACGGTCGCGAMGCACTACGGGGTAGTTACTGCACAGACGCGCGCGCGTGTTTTCGCAGACCCACGCACCCACCCGCGCGCGTGCTACGTGGGTAGAAGCTCACCGGAGCGGCAGGCGCGCGCGTCTCGCCAATCGATGCGCCGACGCTGACGCTACCGCCGAAACGCTGCTACAGCACGCGACAGCGCGCCGCGATGACTCATGCTTTGGGAATTCACCGCATTGATCCTCGCGGCGGCGTTAGGGGTTGTATCATATACATCATATTATATATATACWTATACACCTACAGAACTGGCGAGACCGAACGTCACCGTTGCCAAAGATATATTCTCCTTGCAGAGCAGTGACAAAGCGACTATTAAGCTGCGCATTTATCAGACCAGCCAAACAATATTATATATCTTTCTTTGTTTTGTGGAAATACTTTATGAGACACATCCCATATGTATATTATTCTGCTATATATTCTCTAAAATGAAATTTAATGTTGCTAAATTATTATTTTCAAAATGTAAAGTCAAAAAAAAAAAAACATGAAACTATACGTTTTATGAATATAGGTATTCCATTTCATAAAATATATAAAAAAGCTTTTGGTTATTTTAGATTATGAGCGTATGCCGTATGATTATATAATTAAACTATGAATACATTGATTTTACAACGATGTGCGTGGATTTTTTTTATTTGTGTCTGTGTACACGATGAGCACGAGTACCTAACCTAACCTAGTTGATATAATGCTTCGATTTTCAATTTTTGTTTCTTTTCAGGGGTAAATTGAATCTATATACAGTTGGAGTATTCAGGAGGTCAAAATTTAAAAACTACTAGTAGTTTTCAAAAGCACCGAGAAAAAAAAATTAAGGAAATATGGACATTTTTTACGTAAAATCGGTTTTCGACAACATCGATTTTGGGTTTTCGTGAACTCTGAGACAAAATTCCGTATATACACCATGTTATATTCACTGAATATTTGTACTAGTGTTTTCTATACTTGTCCATAAAATTATACGCCAAAGTATTTTGACTGTAATGCTATAAGCATATGAAGTTTTCGATTATTGTTAGTTTTATAAATATTAACGTCGATGAAAAATATTGTACTCAGTCAAAAGGTTTGAAAATGTAATACAAGATTTCTCAAAAGTTGTTATGAGTGGAAATTCAATAAAAGTTTAGTGTAAATCTACAATAATTTTTTATGAGTCAGAATGTCAAATTTTTACAAAATCAAAAAAAATCACGAACATTTGCAAATTATTTAGAAGTTTATAAAAATTTTATTTGTAAATCTTAGATTTGAAAATTTAATACAAGATTCCTCATAAGTTTTTCACCTTTATTCAAAAAATTTCTTATGGAAATCAAATTTTATTTTTATGAGCGTTTGAAGTTAAAATTTTTACAATAATGATGGATATTCACTCGATTTTCTTATTTTGTTGTGATTCAAATCGAATAACTGTAGGTATTTGAGGTATTTGAAATTTACAGAAAATGTTTATTTTATAATTTCCAATAAAAATATTCAAAATATTTATGATTTGTTTTTAGTTTTTACACTTTATTCATTAGGTCAAAAAGGTTGTAAATTATCACAAGTTTTTGACATATTGTTACAATATAAATTGTAAAATATTAAAAATAAAAAGCAAAATTTTTTTTATAGACATTTAATGTTCAAATGTTGACAACATTTATAAATATGTTTGTAGTTAAAAATTTATAAAATGTTCAAATTTTATATCTAAGAATTGAAAATTTGCTAAGGCCACTGCTTCGTTCGAACCTTACCTTACCAATAAAAATCATTCTTTATAAAACTCTTCTTCAACCAATATGGACATACGGTATAGTAATCTAGGGTTTCGCTAAGAACTCGAACAAGAGAACTATACAAGCTTTTCAAAACATCATTCTTCGTTTAATCACTGGTGCACCCTGGTTCGTTTTTTTTATAGTTAGGTATTCTATGAAAAAATAACAATCCGAGTTATTTTGTTGCAATTTAAAAATATTATTTATTGTTACTTGGAATTTGTACAGTAAGTATATCTATATTATTTTACTTAAAGCATTTAATGACATTTATGAATACAATTTTTCGACAAAATGAATTAAACCTATTATTATACTAATGCCTATTACATTGAAAAATTGTAGAATACATTTCTTTAATCACAATAATATCAGAATAATACCAAGTTAGCCACACATTGTAATTTGTAGTCTGACAGACATTTCAACAGTTTTTAAAATCGTTTTCATTTAGGTGCCATTTGGTATCATCGAAATAATATTTAATATTATATCTTACAGTGACTCTCTGGATACATAAAGCTCAGCAGAGCGGTACCTACACTAACGGCATAGTAGTTTTTTTTTTTGTAGTGTGTTATTAGATTATTGATTCCTTTACTATAAGTAGCAAATTAATGTAGGTACACATTGTAAATCAAATTTATTCTTAYTATTTTAACAAAAAGTATTAATTAATTAAACTTTAGAAGACTGTAATTAACAAACTAGCTAACCAAAACTGATAATATTTGAGCAACAACATTTACCAGAAATTATAAAAAACAATAGTTGTTTTTATTTGACAAAAATAATGTTAATTTTGCGTTGATAAAGCTGCRTACTTGATAATTTTAAAATTGTGATAAAAGACGATTTTCAGSTGAAAATAAAGAAATACGTTTATTTTTCGCTTTTTTGAAATTCCATATTATCAATGTKATCATTAAAAACCATGCATAACGCACATAACAGATACAGGCTGTAGGAACTAGGAACACAGACTTCTATACTTACTTACTTATTATAGAAGTCTGTGACTAGGAAGCAAACCACACAATACAATATAATTACTAGTTACTAGTTACTAGTGACTGATGGGAATTATTCAAATAGGTCTGTCGTAAATAATTCGAATATTCAAACATTCGAATATCAGTATTCGATGCTACAATACAATACGTAACGAAAATTATTCGTCGAAGTTTTCGCAATATCCTAAGTGGATTCGAAGCCAGCGATATTTACTATTTGACAGGGCAATTTATTAAAATACAAAAATAAAAATTGTGCAAAATACTGAAATATCATAATTAAATTATTAATTATAATGTATAAGTTACGACAAAAAAATAATAAATAAATAAATGGTAATTACAAACAGGTATCTACAAGAACTATTTTCGTATTTAGGTCGATTAATCATTGACATACATTATCTTTAGTTGKGTAGATATGAATTAGTTATTAATAACAAATAGTATAAAAAGCTAGCTATGGAAAAACGGATAAAAAAAATTAGGTATTGTAGCATCGAATACTGATATTTGAATGTTCGAATATTCAAATAAGAATT